TTCCAGAACTCCTAACCACTGAACTGTCTATATCCATTTACCCTAGGACTTTATAGCCCATCTGTATGTACTCCTCCATTCTGGTCTAACTGTAGACCTACACAGCTATTACTAAATCAAATAGTAATTTAAATACCCAAACCCAGTAAAAAGAAGATGAAAAGCTGCAGATGGGGGTCCGTGTTTAAAACTATCACCATCCTCTTATAAACAAGTTATTCCAGCAGCTTTTGGGGCTATAGACTTTGCCAGTTAGGTATGAGCTTGAGCTTTGCAGGTAATGTGGAGCTAAAATCCAGGAAAGTTTGTGATAAATCATCTCCCAGGTGTCTCAGTGCACAAACCTTTTCACCCTTTGGAATCTTTCCTGCAATATGAGGCAAAAGATGGACTTTCACAACCTTTGGGCTTGAAGATTTCTTTTTCTCCTAATGATGGGTACAGCTCTATATTTATTTAGATCAGGTAAATCTTCTGTTAACAAATTGAAAAGTAAATCCATATCACTTGCTGGACTAATTCTCTAGCTACTTAATTTTCACCGAATTAGAGCTCCATGGCCCCGGGCAGACATTATTTCCATTAAGCAACGGGTAATACTGCTTAATGGAAACTGTCATGTCACTAATGAAATCATTAGCAGCTTTACCTGATCAAGGATTGCAGAATTTACACAGAAGGAAAAGAAAAATATATCAGATGTCTACAACTGACAAGAAGAAGCATAACCACACAGAATATAATGTTCCTTTTAAACTACCATGTAAAGTAGGGAGGAATTGCAGTACATTTGAGAAGAAAAACAATTATGATATGCAAAAAGGCAAAGGAAAATGCACCTCAGTATAAACAACTGAAAGCCAAGCAGACACTGAAAATGAGTCATATTTTCAGAGCGTGCCTGCATGCACGCATGTGTGTGCACACACATATATATGCAATCAACAAAACAAACTGCAAAATGAGAAACTGTAAAGTACTACTTGGCTTAAACTGACATACAACCAAATTGGAACTAGACTTCTATGCAGGTGCACAGCTTAGGTAGAAGAGCAAAGACACCCCACATTGATTGCTTTGCATAAGGATTATTTATTTATTATTTATTCTTTGGTAGCACCTAGGGGCCAACCAAAAACATAGATTTATAATATTAGATATTGCACCCACAGAGTAAGAGCCTACCCCAATCTCAGAGAATTTACAATTCAAGTAGATGGGGAATACAGAGGGCAGGAGAAGGGAAATAAAACAGATATACAATGAACTAAGGGGCAACTGACAGATGTCATGTTAGCAGCACATTTTTTGAGGGAAAAGGTTGGTGTTTGGGGTGGGGGGGTTAATTGTCTGTGTTGAGTTCTACTAGGAGGGTATCAGCTACATGGAAAGGTGAAAGAGAAGAGAAGCCGCATAGAAGCAACATGGCCAGAGAAAAGCCAGGGAAGGGAGGGAGTAGAATATGAGGGTCAGGTAGAATCAAACTGAGGTGGTGAGGACATGAAAGAGGGGCCATAAGAAGATTAAACCAGTCATCACAGGTAGGAGAGAGAAAAGTGTAAAAACCAGCCTGATGGCCAAGGGTTTTGAAAAGTGATGCTTTCTATGTCTATTCCTAAAGCATGAGTTCCTCTGGCCTACAGGATGGAATCTTCCTGGAATTTCCTTTCTTCCCCAAACCCACATGCTTAGGGGAATGGTTTCAGTGGGTGCATCTACATGAGATGCTAGCAATGCAGTAACCTAATTCTACTGCGTAATACCGTGCAAGGCAAAACCCATGCTAATACGCTACTGTGCAGTTAGCATCCTTAAAAAGCCATGCATCAACGCTACTGCACAGTAGCACCAGTTACTGTGTGTTAAGTTTAGTACTTGGTTATCCAAGTACTAAACTTAATGCGCAGTAACTATAGCACATTTATGAATGTGTAGACAGACCCAGTGCTCCCAAAGAGATGCCATCCTGTGGACCTATGTCCAAAGGGTTCTCATGAAAGTTGGATGTGTTGTAGTCCAAGTCCTGCCCCTTACTCCTCCCTTTAGGAGGAATTTTTTTTTTTAAAAGAAGTGAAAAAATCCTCTTTCCTGACATACTGGTACTTGAAAATGGGGCATGTGCCTGGAAAAAAATTCTGTTTTTCACCAAAATATTTGCATTAGAAATTATTTAATTAGAAATTCACAAGCAGTCCTCATACAAACTGTACTTCTAATTCCATATATTTTCAGGAGGCCAGGTCTCCTGGTTGGACAGCACCCACAATCATGTAACATTTTGAATATGGAAAGCACTACATCTTGGGACCTCTGACCATGACACATCATAGGTTATGAGACATCTAGGCAGCATTTCTAAATAAAAATACTTAATTTTGGACAATATATTTACTTCCTCAAAAAAAAAAATTCCCTGAAAAGCACACAAACCAACATTATTTAATCAAAAAACTAAACCTCTGATAAAGTCTTTTTTTCTTTCAGTAAATGCTTAAAAGTTATGGCCACTACTGTTACCCAGGATGCCTGCTCAAGGCTGTTGGTTGCTAGAATCTCAGGGAAGGTAAAAGATTACACACACAAAAGAGAAAAGAAAACAAAAACAAAACAAGAAAGTCTCTAGTCAAAAAGTACAAAATCTTAACTCTAAGACTGACCTGAAAAAAACTTTTTTTTTATGAAAAAAGGTCATGATCCAAGAAAAGACTTCCAAAGAAATGTGGAAGTCATTATTTTAAAATCTTTGGAGGTTATCTGAAATGTTAAATAGATTACCACGGTTCTAAAACTTTGTGTTTTGGCTGCCGTACTGGTACTCCAGTAACAAGTCTATCTATAAAAACAGATATAGTATAATTTAAGAACAGGATTTTACATGGAATCCTGGATATTTGCTCCCGTGACCTGCTTGGAGATGGAGAGGAGAGAGAGATGACACAGTTTACCATTGCTCATGAAAAACATAATGTGCAACAAGAAGAAAACTAGACACTTTGACACCAAGGGTAGGGACAGACATTCAAAAAGCCTGAGCGTGAATTGAGTCTAACCTGCAGAGAGTGAACTGGTTTGCAAATGGATAGACATTCGGCACATGCCTGCAGCGGCTCAAGCCAGAAGCTCGGAGGTGCTAGAGCAGCCCTTCCTTTCATAGGGAAACTGAGCTGAGGAGGGGGACATGGCCTGCCCCAGCAATTCCCTGACAGCCAGGAGCAATCCCGGCACCCAGGGCTGCTCAGCCCCAGAGGGGAACTTTTCCCCCCCGTCCCTTTCCCCCACTGCCGCGGGGCTGGGAGGAGGACCCTGTTTGGTGCTGGGGAGGGGGCTCCATGAGGCTGGCTCACCCCAGAGGGGGACTCTTCCCCCAGTTTCTCGGCCATCACTGTGGGGTGGGGAGGGAGGGGCTGTATGGGGTGCTGCCCAGCCCCAGAGCAGGACTCTTCCCCCCACTTCTCCTTATCCCCCAGGACAGAGGCAGGCTCTGTTCCATGCAGGGGAGAACTCATCTCCCTCCTCTTCCTCCTAGAGGGGCAGCGGGAGCACAGAGCTCAGCTGGGCAGGGTGTGGGTGTGTGAGGGAGGCTGAGGGGTATAGGGATCCCCACACACTCCCCCATGGCATGCAGCCCCCATTCCCTGGCAGCAGCAGCAGGAGGAGGCAGGGAGGTCAGGGCGCTTGTGCCTAATGCAGGCATGGCTCTGGCCAGCGCTGCGCGGAGGAGGGAGTGGAGTTTGCCTTATCCCCAAGGCTCTGTTCCCCATGTCTGTAGCTCCAGCCCTTGAAGCAGGGGAAGCCATGCACTAGAGCCTGCCATCTCCCCAGCTCCCAGCTGCACTGAATGATTATAGGAGTAATTTCCATTTATATTAAGACCCTCTTAAAGGCTCCTTTCCAGTGCTTCATCTCATCCAAGGCTATATTGTCACTTTCCAATCTGCTCTGTGTAAAGTCGATGTGCTGTAATAACCCAGGAAAGGTCAGAGACTTGTGACTCAGTCAAAATTTCAACCTTGATCCCACTCTCGGAGGTTTGGGAGTAAGTGGGTGAGCCAGGGGTAAGTGGGCTCACCCTTTTGACTTAAGCAGTGAGTAGTACAAGTGCCAGGGCTTCCTCATTTTGTCCCTCCCTACCCACTTTCTCCTTAAGTAAGGAGCCCCAAATCCTCCCTCCCTGCTTCTCCCAATGACTGCAGTCAATCTAGGACCAGGACCAGGCAGTGAGTTAAGGGCAACTTACACTTTCCTGTGCAGCCAAGTGAAATTGGGGACAATCTAATTGCTAGTGAATCCATGCAGCTCAGGAGGTTTGCCATCCTACCCCCTGCCCTAGTTATTTGATCCCGCTTCGTCTTAAATAAATGTTAAAAAAAGAAGCACTTGTGTTCAGATTGTATATGAGCAGCGTACCAAGGAATTTCAAGTGAAGTAGTGTCCCTAAGGAACACATGGGGAAAGCTTCCAACATCTTTTGTAGACCGTGGGCTCAATGGAACCACTCACACCGTAAAGTTCTATTCAGTCTGTCTACAGATACTCATTGTTGGGCAGCAAAAAGATAGCTTGTTTAGAACTAGCTCAGCGATCTCAGCACAGGTGATGTGTGCCTCCCGAGGCTGGGCGACCACCCACAGGTGGTGACACAGGCATCGGCAGCAAAGGTGGACCAAGCAGGGAAGTGCCAGCAACACTTCTTGGGGAGGGGGAGGGGCACCATAGCTCTGCTTATCCATTGCCTGAGCGCTCACTCTCAGGGGGTGCACCAATGCTCTCAGGGGGTGTATGTGCACCCCCTATACTTCACCTATGTAGCTCAGGGACCAGGAGGATCACTACAACCATGTTAACATAAAGGTCTTCATGAGCGAATTTACTCTTTTCTTAGCAGGGTAATTTATCCCACACACAGCTCTGTCCTAACAATATTGGTTCTTTGACCTGACCTGGCTCACTCAGAGCTAGCTCT